TGACGTATCCCTACTGTACTCGTATCCATAAATTTTTAGTATTATTATTTTCCGTCCCGGTGCCCGTTCCCGTTTCTTGTCCCCAGTGCAACCTAGCTAATAACTATTTACTCGGTATCATAATAGTTGATATTTAAGTATATTACACACAAATTAATAAATTATTAAATTCTTTATTTTTCTAATTTAAAATATTTTTTTTTATCATCTAATTAAGTACAATAGAGTTTTAGAACCCAACCTACTGCACTGGTGTTTGCCATTCTTTCAAAACTCCTAAAAAAACAAATAAATACTGATGTATGTGAGAGAGGACGAATATKGGAGTACATAACTTTGGGTATTGTCTTTCCTAAGCCATTAGCTAACAAACAATTTTGACGACTCGTTATGAGAAATTTCTGGGAAATCAAAAGGTGAACGATCGATATTACTAAAAAATTATCGTTTTCAAATTTTCAAGTATTTCACATAATCCATGAGTAAAAGCCATTGACTTCTTCCACAACTTTTGTATTTGCTATAAGCCAAAACAATTTTTTTTTCTATTTAAATATTTTTATACGAGAAAATGTACAAGGTTGTTGAAATGTTTGATAGTGTCAATCATTGCAGTGCTGGATAACAAAAGAATAAATAATTGATTGTTTATTTTTGGTGGCCGCATCTCGAGCAGTTTCATTGTAACACCCCTGATCATCGCTCAGAGCCGTCCGACATAAAATTCTACAACCTACATTCGGAAACGGACGGAGCTAAAGTGTTAGCACACGCAATGGTTCTAGCAGTGGTGTTGAAGTAGGCTGCGATCTGGTTGGATTGTACATAGGAGGGTGATTTTACCCAATAATAGTATTTTATGTCTTATGTAATTTTCGTTCAATTTCTCCATTTCTATTTTTCTTTTAATCAGAATAATTTTGAACCAAAAATAAGAATAATTTCTGGTTTGGAAAATTTTAGTTCTCTTAACCAACTTAAGGGATTTGTTTTTGCATAATTAACAAACACGTAAAGATTTGTGACGACTTTGTTAACCCGTTTTTGTTAACTCGTTTTTGTACAATTAACAAAAACATGAGTGGAGGTGTTCTGTGACGACTCTCTGATACTCAAATCAGAAAAAGGTAAAAGAGAAAGAACAAAGAAAACCACATGGAGACGTGGAGAGGATAGTCGGAAAAAAA